AGACACTGTGGATATACAGATACTATAGACAGCCTGCCGAGATGGAGAGATACACTGAACATATAGATACTGCAGGAGGAATCTGTAGATAGATAGATCCTCCAGATAGATAGATCCTGTGAGCAAATCAATAGCCGCTGCACACAGAGAGACAGCAAGACAGAGCACGGCATGGGGAGAATGTGCTTTGATGGACAGCGGCTGGCATTGCTTTGAGCCACCAGGTTGGAAAGTGCAGCTCGGGTCCAAGAAGGGCTCAGCCCCAAGCCTTGGGTCCAGGCTGGCTGGTGTTTCTGGAGCTGGCGGCGGTGATTATGGGTGCGTGGCCTCTCGGGAAGCCACCGTGACGTGTCTTGCAAGGCCAGGAAGGGTGGTTTGTGCTCTTCCAGGTGCAAACAGTGAGTTGCTGGGACGTGCTTTTTGCAGCATCTTAGGAAAAGTCTAGTCCAGCCCCCAGCTCAAGCATTCCTCAGGGTTTGCTCCCTCTCCTGATTCACCAGCTATAGGTCCAGCCATGCCAGGGATGGCCTCATCCTCTTGTCCCAGCACTGCTCTGGCCCAGCCTTGCTCAGCTGGGGAAGCAGTGGGGAGCTGTGGGAGGTGGTGACTGCACCTGTCCAGAGCCCAAGCCTCAAATCTCCCTGTTGTGCCAGCTCCAGCCCTCCAGGAGCAGGTACGCTGGCTACTGGGGTCCCACGCTGGGGAAGGTGAGGGCCTCCATCAGCTGTTGGGGAGGGTGATGTGTAACACCCTCTATGGACCACGGTTCACCTGGGAGATACCCACTAGGGGCCAGGGCAATGTCTGCATCATCCTGCATGGATATATCTACACAAACCCCCTAGGGACAGTCCATAGGGGGGCCTGCTGGGGCAGTCAGGGCTCAGTGCTGGGGGTGCTGGGCATGGGAGCTAGGAACAGGCAAGGTCAGGATGCCAGGGGCACCAACCAGGAGCCAAGGGCTCCCAGGCCATCAGAGCCAGCTGGGGCTGGCCAGTGTGTGTACAGCGTACCTCCTAGCCAGACCCAGCTGCCAGTACCAGGGCTCGGGCGGCGTGCTGCAGGGTGCTGCAGCCTGGCCAGAGACAGGAGAGCGCCCCGAGTGCATTGCACCCCCAGACCTGCCGTCAGACTTGCCGGGGATCCCAGCACCTGGGCTGTTTCATGCCTGGGGTGATCTGGGGCACGGAGCAGGAGGGGGCCTGTGGGCAGTGCTGTGCCCCCCTGGACATCCTTTCCCCACGGCTGGGCTCCTGGGTCAGCACCCGCTCCGGCCTCTGTGAGGCCGTGCTGCCCTGCGGAGCTGGCAGGGGAGCAAGGAGTTCTGGGGGCAGCTGCACTCTGCTACTGACCCCCTGAGTGACCCTGGTCATGGCCCCTTGACCTCGTGCCTCAGTTTCTCCTGCCTCTAAGGTAGGAATAACAGTCACTTGCCTCAACGGCAGAGCTCAGTCCAGTGAGACTATCGGCCTGCCCTGCCCTGAGGCAGTAAGCAGAGGGGCAGGGCAGGGCAGAGCTGTACAGTGCCTGCGGTTCGAGTGACTACAGCTTGTTCCCGTAGCAGGCTGCTCTGTAATGCAATGCAGGGGAGAAGCCAGTGCCATCGGGACACCGGGATGCTGGACTCGGACACGAAGGATGTGTGCACACCACGTACCATGCTACTGTGTGCACGCCTGCCGGGGAGGGGGTACTCTCAGTCGCGGCCTCTCCCTGCCCCCATATCCCTTCCTGGGGTACAACAGGGCCCATGAACCCTGCCTACCTCCAGAGAGTCTGGGGAGGGGGACAGAGCCAGGGAGGGGCTCACAGCTCTCCTCCACTGTCAGGACAGTGCCTGGGTGCTTTGTTGTGGGGGACATGGAGCGTGCAAAGCTGGGCACCCCAGGCACCAGCCTTCCTCAAGTCTCGTGGCCCCTGCCCCAGCCCCGGCAGCGATGGGTTCCCCGCCCCCGGGATGGAGTTATCGACACGGCATCTGCGGAAAGCCCTGTTGAGATTGTTCACACTAATGTTATTTAGCAGCAATATTTCCGTAATCGCCGTAATCGATGGGCAAGAGAAAGGACCTGTCCGGGCCTTTGATTTTCTCATTCTAATGGCATACTTATTTACTGCGGCGGCGGGCCCATCGGATTTTCATTACGCTGGCCTTCGCCGTAAGTGGAGCGGTATTGATACGAGCTGCTGACTTCAGCTGCCTGCCTGCAGACACCAATTAAAAATTACTCATATTCCTCGACAGTATCTTGTGCTAAATGACGGGACACGGCGAGGACGGGTGGGCAAGGGTCTGCGAGGGAGGGGAGCTTGCAAGGTACCTGGCCTTCCTGCCTCCATACATGCATGCACAAGCTTTGCACCTGCACAGACACACAGGTGTGCGTATCTATCCCAGCCACGCACACACACACACACACACAAGCATTGTGCCTACATATACACACAGCTACGTGCGGCTATCCTAGCCATATACACACACAAGCATCGTGCCTATATATACACACGTAACTATTCTGTATATATGATATCCATGTGCTTGAGTGCGCGCGCGCGCGCACACACACACACACACACACACACAAATGTTGTGCCTACATATACATGCAGGTATGCATAGCTATGCCAGGCATGCACACACACAAGCATTGTGCTTATATATACACACATATAGCTATCCTACATGTATATCCAATATATATCCTAGCCATGCATGAGTGCATGCACACACACACATAGACACACACACAGTCATTGGGCCTATGCATACATGCAAGTATGAACAGGTAACCCAGCCATGCACACACACACACACACACACATCATGCATATATATACATGTAGCTATCCTATGTGTATATCCTATATGTGTCCTAGCCATGCATACACACACAAAATCATTGTGTCTACATATGCATGCAGGTATGCACAGCTATCCCGGCCATGCACACATACAAGCGTTGCATCTGCATATACACACATGCACGCACAGCCATGCTAGCCGCAGACACATGTACACGGCTGTCTCTAGGTATTTTGGAGCGCAGTCCCTAGAGAGGCTGTGGGATCTCCAGCACTGAAAGAGCAGGTCTAAGGCCTAAAAGCAGGTCAGACGGATGCTTGGCTGGGCTGGTGTAGGTTGGAACAAGTGTTGTTGTGGGGATGATTTGGAGAATGACATGAGGAAGCTCCACGTGCTCAGGGAATTTCACAATAGCCCTGAGGACACTACACTTCATAGCTGCAAGCAGCCACAGTGAGCACAGGGACTTCAAATAAAGATCCCAGTTCTTGCAGTCCACATGGATCCTTCAATTCTGGCACAGAGCTCTGGGTATGAAACGTGGTGGCAGTGGCTTTTACCTGAGGGGCCCAATACATGACAACAGCTGAGGAAGGCTTTTGATGAGTGCTGTGATCCCTCCAAAAATGAGACCATGGACAATGCTGGTTTTTGAGGGGGTTTTTAAACCCAGAATCAGGATCCAGGAGAAGCAATATGAGTCAGCAGTGTGTCCTTGCTGCCAGGCATCCTGGGCTGCATTGGCAGGAGCATTGCCAGCAGATGGAGGGAAGTGATTCTTCCCCTCTATTCAGCACTGGGGAGGCCACATCTGGAGTCCTGTGTCCAGCTGTGGGCCCCCTACTGCAGAAAGGATGTGGACACGTTGGAGAGAGTCCAATGGAGGGCAATGAAAATGGCTGTGAGCTGGGGGACAGGACTGGTGAGGAGAGGAGGAGGGAACTGGGCTGATTGAGTCTGCAGAAGAGAAGACCGAGGGGGATTGAATAGAAGCATTCCCCTCACTGCAGGGGGGCTGCAAAGAGGATGGAGCTGGGCTGTTCTCCGTGGGGGCAGATGACAGGACAAGGAGCAATGGGCTCAAGCTGCAGCAAGGGAAGTTGAGGTTGGATAGTAGGAAAAACTTTCTCATGAAGTGGGAAGTAAAGCACTGGAACAGGCTCCCCAGAGAGGTTGTGGAGTCTCCAACCTTGGAGGCGTTTAAGACCCAGTTCGACAAAGCCCTGGCCGGGATGATGCAGCTGGGGCTGGTCCTGCTTGAAGCAGGGGGTTGGACTAGAGGTGACCTCCTGAGCTCCCTTCCAAACCTAATTTTCTATGATTCTCTGATTCTCTGAATAGCTGATTATGTTATAGAGCTGACATCATTGGAGTCCATGTGTAATTTTGGAAAGACCACAGATTCCCCTAATGGAGACAGAATTATTCATGGGACACCTGACTCTAAGCTAACAGTGAAGTTGTTGAAAGAGGCTGTCCAGCCTCTGGACAAGTGCCTCCAAATTTCAAGGGCAACTGAATTATCTGAGGAAAGAATGAAAACAATTGCTGCTGCAGAACAAATACACGGAGCCAAATGGAAGGAGCCCAGGAGGCAGAACAAAGAGGCTCCAGCCTTGGGAAGCAGCATGAAAGACAGGAAGAGAAATGCCCAGCTTATGGGCAAAGATGCCTGGGCTGTGGGAAACAAAATCATTTTGTGTCCCGGTGCCGCAGCAACCCCAAAAGAAATAAAGCCACAATACATGCAGTAGGGGAGGACACTGATTCCCTTGACTTTAGCAGATCCAAATACTCTGAACATCCCTGCGCTACAGAAGAAAGCTGACAAAGAACCACGTGCTATATTTGCAGCTATGTTAGTGGAACAGCAAAACTAAACTTCAAAAGAGTTTGGAAAAATGGCGTGCTCGCTCTCTGGACAAAGATGCCCGTCGACAGCGCTTGCGTGCTTAGATCTGTCTATTGTACAGCAGCAAAACATGGACTCCTTATGCCAAGAAAGAAAGAAAACTGAGAAGTTTCCATCTTTGATGTCTCTTCCATATTCTGGGCATAAAATAACATGACAAAAATCTCTAACTTGGTGTTTCTGGAATGGGCCAAGATACCCAATGTGTTCATGCTCCTGAGACAGAGATGCCTCCGTTGGTTAGGACATGTGAATCGTGTGAGCAAAGGCCGAATCCCCAAGGACCTCCTCTGTGGTGAGCTGGTCACTGGCCAGCATCAACTTGGACAGCCCAATCTGCAAGAAAACCTCCACGAGCTGTGCATTCATGGTCAATACTGGGAATCAATCACTTCAGACCATTGGGAGTGGAAAGCCACTATGAAGCAAGGCCTATGTCACTTTGAGCTGGAGCGGGTCAATGATGAGACAGGGAAGATGTGTCAGAGGCGGGCAAGACAAGATGGCATTCGGCACACTGGTGCAACCTCAACCAGGTTTGTATGTGCAATTTGCCAGAGGGTCTGCTTGTTGCACATTGGAGTTGGCCACACTAGAAGCCGTGGTGGTACAACCATCAGTATGGTCTCCGAAGACCGATGGCTGCCAGTGATGATGAGTGGAGCAGCAACCAGCTTGATTGTGGAGGAAGACAGGACAAGGAGCAATGGGCTCAAGATGCAGCAAGGGAGGTTTAGGGTGGATATTAGGAAAAACTTTCTCACTAGGAGGGCAGCAAAGCACTGGGACAGGTCACCAAGAGAGGTGGTGGAGTCTCCATCCTTGAAGGGTTTTAACACCTGGCTAGACAAAGCCTTATTTGGGGTGATGTAGGTGGGGCTGGTCCTGCTTGGAGCAGGGGGTTGGACTAGATGTGACCTCCTGAGCTCCCTTCCACCCTCATTTTCTATGGTTTTATGAAGCTGCAGTGCGGTGCCTGCAGAACTACTCAGTGGTGATATCAGATTGGAGAGACGTGAGCAGATACGAGTGATGTGCAACAAAACAATGCTGCAGCCAGTGGGGAAAGGCAGACTCTCGATACAAAATCCCAAGTACAGAAAACGATAGCGGCTGGAACGCAGCTCTGAAAAATGCCGTCCGATCTGAGTGTGACGCCAGAATAACCTGCATGTGAGACGGGAGGGAGGAAGCACAGTGTGGCCTGTGGCAGATGTTTTACAGGAGTACAAAGATGTGCTGAAGGGAGAGGGAAAGCTCACATGAGAGGCAGACTCACAAGTCCAACCTGTATGCTTGCCAAAGCGTGGAGTACCACTATTCCTGATGGAGATGCTCAAAGAGGAACTTCTCCTTCTTCAGCAATCCCTCACAGTCAAGGATGATTGTCTTCCATGATTGTCTTATCTGTGGGTCTAAAGAGGCTGACAAAGCCTATCCGGGATTGACAGAGTCTGCTGCAACTTGGGCACATGTTTCTGTGTGGGGTGGGTGGCCCTGGATCCTACCAAGAACTACCAAGCCTGACAAGAGACATTATTAAATCAGCGGCAATTAATACAAGCTGGATCAGCAGCTCAGCAGTGATATAAATCATAGAAAATTAGGGTTGGAAGGGACCTCAGGAGATCACCTAGTCCAACAGGAGGTCATCTAGTCCAAGGATAAGGAAACCATCTGGCAAACTGAGGATTTGCATAGATCCCAAACCACTGAGGAGGGCACTTACCCATTGCCCACTCTTGAGGACCTATTGCCTGAAATATGGAGGGCAAAAGTGTCCGTGGTTTGTGACGTAAAACATGAGTTCTGGCATATCAAGCTGGATGAGTCCTGCAGCCACCTGAAAACCTTTGCAGGATTGTAGCAGACACCACAGCTGGGGGGCAAGGAAGAGGCTGCCAAGAACCACACTGCTAAACAGCGGCAGCTCCCAAACAGCTGGAGGGAGCAGAGAAGTTAGTTGAACTCAGACACGCTGAAGGAGAGGAGAACAGAGATCCCTTGTGTTTGGCCTGACCTTAAGAAACTGAGAACCACTATGGAAACGCAGAGCCCACAAGATGAAAAGGGAGTCCAGCGATGCCTCGGCACGGCTAACTATCTTTCCAGATCATGTGCACACTTGGCAGAGGCTGGTGAACCTTTGAGGCAGCGAATGCACAAGGCGATGGTATGGGACGGGGCAGAAGCCCAGGAGCAGGCGTTTGAAAGGAGAAAGGAACTCATAAGCAAGGCACCAGTCTTGAAGCATTACAACAGCAGAGCAAGTACAGCTACAAGGCGATGCCATGGAGGGAGGCCTGGGAGCAGCACTGATGGACAACCATCCGGCACTGTCAGCACGCCAGCGCTGGCGGAGAACCATCTAACATTAGTCAGCCCGGCCGGACAGGTACAGAAAGAGGGTCTGTGCAAATAGAGCCGGCGCTCCTGGCTGTGCTCTTTGGAAACACACTTTTCTTACTTCTTTCTCTTTTCTTTTTAAAATATTTTGGTTTGGTTTGGTTTTACTTATTCCAAGGACAGATGTAATAGGAGGGCCCTGCCAGCTCGTTGGCTCAAGGATGCTGTAAGTCCATCCTCTCTACACACATGCAGTCACTCATCTGTACACACAGGCACCCACTGCCACACAACCAGCCTCCCTATGCACACCCCTTCACAATCATCTGACCAACACACACTTACCCTGCACACACACCTTATCCTGTGTGCATCTTCTACACGAGGGCCATTCTGCACACTCACCCAATCCCCCACCCCCCGCCCAGACACACACAGAGGCATTTTGCACTTAATGGATTTAATGTGCACATAGTACATGCTACAATTGTTCCGCTGCAGACATGGCATCACCCCACGAGCACCTCTCCCATCTAGCCACATGCTCACATGGATGCTCTCACATCTAGCACATCGTCCCCTTCTGCTCGCACACCATACTACCCCAGTGCACACACCCAGCCAGCACCCATACATGCAGCACAGCTGTGGCCCTGCAGTCAGTCCATGGCAGTTGTGCACGGTGCTGCTGTGTGCATTTACAGGTGTGATTATGGGGGGATCCTTGGAGAACTGGTTGCCTAGTGGGCCTGGACTTGAGACCCCTCCCAGCCCTGCTGCTGGTGCTGTTCCAGTTCCCTTGCTCCGTGCCCCTGTTCAGGGCAGGTCGAGGAGTCCCCAACTGCCCGGGGCCCCTCTGTGGGCTCTGTGGAGATAGCCTTCATGGCGGGTGTCACTGCAGGATGGTATGTGCACAATGCATGGGGCCACTGTAGGAAAGAGAGAGCAGACAAAGGGAAGCAACCTGGCAGCTCCACCATGGTCCCATGGCAGCTGGCACATCACTTACGCAACATCACACAGCTTGCCACGGCGTTGGCATCTTTGCCATCACACAGCTTGACATCGACAGCAATCCATGCCTGCCCACGACCCCCCTAGGGGACACAGGGCTGGGCTGGGGCCAGGTTTGCTGGCAACCACCAACCCCAAGACACCCCCAAACCACCACTGCCAACCCCTGCCCATTGCAAGACTCAAACCAGAAACACCAGGAGTACACTGTACCCTGCCACAAGCAACAGCAGAGGAGACGCGGGCACTGTGGGTGCAACCACAGGGAAAGGCTCAGACTCCTAGGAAGAGGCCCCTACCCGCCATGCACGACTCAGGGGGGTAAAGCCCCTATTGGTGCCGGCCGGACCAGGGGGAAGCATCTCTGCCTGCCCGATGGGGCTGAGCAGAGCAATGGGGCAGCATGTGCAGTGCGTCCCCCACGCAAGCGTGAGCCGCAGCCTGGTTGGGGCTGGAGAGAGAATAGACCAACATGAAGCGCCGCTTTGCTGGTCTTTGGCTGCATTCCTTTATCCAACCCGCATTTTTTTCCCTTCTTAACATTGTTTAGTTTTGAACCAAAACTGCCTGGTTTGGAAGCACAAAAGGAGCTGGGACCTGCTTGGAGAGGACAGGAGGACAGGATGGGCTGGGCAGTCAGGCTGTGGAGGCTGCTTTTCCTTACCCAGGCTTCTGGGCTTTGCTGGTTGCCACATGGAGCCAGGAAGGAATTTTTTTCCCTCCTGTTGCTTCATGTTGAGCTTTTCCACCTCCCTCAGAGGCACTGGGTGCTGGCTACATCCCAGGCTGGGGAGTGGGGACTGAGTAGTGCTAATGCTCCTGCTGGGACTTGACCGTTTCAAGCAAGGGGCTGGACTAGATGTGGTCTCCTGAGGGCCCTGCCTGCCCAATGGCTCCAGGACGCGATGAGAAGTCCAAGTGTTGCCTTTGCAAACCCAAGGGCTTGGCATGATCAGAATCGTCCCTGTTATTTCCCAGCCCAAACTCTTGCTCCCATTCCACCCCAGATGGCCAACAACCCTGGTCACTCCTTTGTCAGTGCAGCCAGGACCGCATAAAGCCAGTCTCGGGTGGGCATTGAGGACATCCCCCAGGGTTGGGTCTGGCTTAGCTGGCAGTGCTGCAAGCCTGTGCTGTCCCTGTGGTGGGGGAACAGTGTCCCGGCTGGCTTTGGAGGGGTGAGAATGACCCACTTGTGCAAAGAGATCCATTGTGTCGCACGGGGGCTGAGATGGGAGGGCTGGTGTGACACGGGAGAGTGGGGGAGACAGGAAAGGAAGAGGAAGCAAAGCACAGGCTGGGCTGGACGTAAAGGGGAATAAAGTTGAGCTGCAGAGCTCGGGGCTGAGCAAGGGTCTGGCCAGGGCCGGAGGGGGCTGAATGATGCTGGCAGCCAGCCCAGAGACCCAGGGGACTGCAGGGGACAGCCTCGTGCTTTGCTCTGGAAGGGGGGAGCCAGTGCTTTACAGAGGGTTATGGCTCTGCATGCAGTTCCCCCATGGGAGCTGACTCGAGAGTGACCCCCGGGCTGCCCTACGCCAGCCCCGTTTCCACACCTGGGCCACGTGTCCTGCGCCCAAGCCGCGTGAGCGTCGCGGTGCGTGCGGGGAGCCCCAGGCAGCTACCCCCACTCCCAGCCCCGCTGTGCAGGCCCTGGGTCTGGCTAGAAGCTCTGGGGCTCCAGGGGAGCGGGTCAGGATACGGCCCCGTGGTGGACCTGTCCCCGCTGTGCCCAGCACCGCTCGCTGCCTCTTTAGAGATGCTGCCGGCCTGCGGAAAGGCAATGCCGCCACCTCCTGGCCCAGCACGCAGCCTGCAGGGGCTGGATCCTGGGCCTAATCCTGCTCAGTGTCCGGGCAGACACATGGGACCTTGCAGGGTTGGACTTGCCCCTTTCTCTGCACCATACCTCACCAATGCTGGGGCTTATGAGAGAGGAAGAAGGGGTCTGTCCATGGGGGCTACCAGCTCCAGAGCCCATTGCCCCCCGGAGGTTGCCAGGCTCTCAGGATCGGCCCCGTACTGCTCATCCTGCTCCCTACCAGGCAGCGCAAGAGGAGGGAGACAGGTGGTGAAGAGCCCCATGTAGGCAGCAAGGGAGGCGGCGGGTGCTGGCGGCAGCCTGTGCCCTCTCCTGCAGGCTGGAAGAGGACAGCCCTGGAAGTCGAGCAGAGTCAGAGCCAGCCTCACTGGATGTGGCCCCACTTCCCCTGGCACAGGCCAAGACCCTCCCGAGGGGAGCCGGGAGCTCTTAACTCAGTGTGGCAGGTGGCCCAGCTCTGGGCTTTTCAGTGTCCAAGCCAGGCTCCGTGGGGGCAGCTGCAGAGACGAAGCCAGGCTCCTCGTGCCCTCCGCGGGGCCAGCCAGCAGGAAGGGGCAGCCTGGCGGCACCCAGGAGAGCAGGCTCCTCCCTGCGGGCTCAGCAGGAGGGAACGGAGCAACTGCTGCCAGCACCCCCGGCACCCTGTAGAAAATGAGGGTTAGAAGGGACCCCTGGAGATCACATCTAGTCCAACCCCCTGCTCCAAGCAGGACCAGCACCACCTACATCATCCCAGACAAGGCTTTGTCTAGTCGGGTCTTCAACACCTCCAAGGATGGAGAGTCCACAACCTCTCTGGGGAACCCGTTCCACTGTTTTACTACCCTCCTAGTGAAAAAAGTTTTCCCTAATATCCAACCTAAACCTCCCTTGCTGCAACTTGAGCCCATTGCTCCTTGTTCTGAGAACAGCCCAGCTCTATCCTCTTTGCAACCCTCCTGCAGGGAGTTGAAGGCTGCTCTTCAATCCCCTCTCAGCCTTCCCTATTCCCTCAGTCTCTCCCCAGAAGTCATGTCCCCCAGCCCCTGAACCATTTGCTGCCCTTTGTTGGACTCTCTCCAGTTTCTCCACATCCTTTCTGTAGTGGGGGCCCACAGCTGGACACAGGATCCAGATGTGGCCTCCCCCATGCTGAATAGAGGGGAGGAATCACTGCCCTCGATCTGCAAGCAATGCTCCTACCGATGCAGCCCGGGACACCGTTAGCCTTCTGGGCAGCAACGGCACACTGCTGGCTCCTGTTCAGCTTCTTGTCCCCTGTCACCCCGGGTCCTTTTCTGCAGAGCTGCTGCTCAGCCCGTCACCCCCAGCCTGCACCGGTGCATGGGATTGTTCTCTCCTAGATGCAGGACTTTGCACTTGTTGAACCCCATAAGATTTCTTTTTGTCCTCCAATTTGTCGAGGTCTCTGAATCCTAGCCCTACCCTCCAGTGTATCTACTACTCCCCCGCGCCTGGTGTCATCTGCAAATAGACCCCTGGGAAAGGGGCTGTCTGGTTTCTAGCTGAGCTCCCACCTGGCTGTGGCAGGACCTGGGGCAATGCTAGGACTCTCACTGCTGGGACTGGGAAGGAAGTGAGCGAAGGCAGAGAAGCCCTGCCAGCAGCTGAGAGCCCACAGGATGTCTGGACAGCTTGGGACTCAGCTGTGAGGCCACTCGCTGGCTGGTGGTGTCTGGGGAGATAGGGTGATCCTGCCAGGGCAGGGCCTGTGCCAGGCTTGCACGCCCATTTACCTTGGAACCCCAGCTCCGCATCCCCATGGGACCTTACAGGGAAGAGGAAATGTTCCCAGCAAGAGGCTTGGGCTCAGACAGCCTCTGCCCCTGCACACGGAAAACCCAAGGCCCCTGGATGGTACTGGAGGTCGTGGGAATGTCAGGCACCAGGGGTAGGGAGTGCCTGGCAAAGCCCCCCCACAATCCCCCTGGCACCAACAGACTCACCAAGCCATGAAAGGGCTCACGTGGGAGCTCCACTGGCCATGCACAAGCCAAACCAACCCCTCTTCTTACTCCCCCCACAGCACATAGCAGAACTCAACGGGGCCATGCTAGGAGGCAGAGCTGGAAAGGTCCCAGAGCCTCTCTACAGCCGGGAGCTGGCCTCCGAGGGGCTGCACAATGCTTGCACCCCCCCTGCCCCCCCCCCCGAGGCCTTGCATGTGGCAGAGACTCTGCGCATAGACTGGTCACACGAGCAGGTTTATTGGTGACATACTTAACCATGTCCCCCGCCAAAGGCTGGGACAGGACCAGTCTGACACAAGCAATGGGATTTGGTGGCTGCTGGGCTGACGCTGGGTTGGGAACAGAAGAGGCTGGCGCTGCTGGGTACATGGAAGACAGGGCCATCTGGAACCCAGCTAGAGGGAAGATGGGTGCAGGGGGTGCATAGATCCCAACCCCACTAGTGCACTGGGACTGGGAGGAAGAGCAGCTGCAGCCCTGGCCAGAGCACATGGGAGCCAGTTGCCCCTGGGAGGGGGAAACGGAGCAGGGCTGTGCCCTCTGTGAGGAATGGGAGAGAGGGCCGAGCCATGGGGGCTAGTGTTCATAATGGCCCTGGGCAGCAGGTAACAAGAGGATGGGAACACTTTTGGGCCAGCAGGTGACCCCAAGAGCACCCTCAAACACCCCTACAATCCTCCTACCTCCACCCCATGGGGCAGCATCCTGGATGTTACCAGTGAAGGTGGATGCTGGACTGTTTCCGAGTTCTTTGCTTCATGGAGAAGCAGCATGCAGCCTGCCACCACTGGGTGGGTAGCCATGGGACTTCACTGCTGCCTCCCCGGTCAGCCCTGTCCCGCTTGGGGGTCAGGATATGTCAGTCAGGGGGTGCCCAGGTTGTGGGGGTAGGAGATATGACGGCTGTGGGGCAAGGCCTGCAGCCTGTAGGGGACAGGAGGAGGCAGGAAGGCAAGGGGGATGGGCTGGGTCTGCTCTGCCCAGGCGACAGCCCCTGGGTGAGCACTGCCCTTCCCCAGCCTGGACATGTGTGCAGACCCAGAGTAAGGCTCTTGGTGAAGGCAATGGATGATGGTTCTGCCCTGACAAGGGGAGGGGGCCTCTGCCACCTCTCCCCCCTCCCCTGAGCTGTCAGAAGGCATTACAGCACACGCTCATGGACAGCTGAGATGCATATGCACACATGTGCGTGCCTGGCTGGCACCACAGGGCTCCTAGGGGCACTGGCTGCACCGACAGGAGGCAGAGCTGATGGCAGCAGTGGTACTCCAGGAGATCCAGAGTGTGGGGCCAGGTTATTGACACCGAGGGCAGGAGGCCAACCCTGGAGCTGGTCCAGGGGGTCTTTTTATCAGACCCTGCTCTTACACAGATGGAAGTGTCCAGCACAGGGCTGTTACAACCTGTGCCCCCTGTGCTCCTCCCCAGCTGGCATGCCCATCTCCTGGCTGTGCTTCTTTCCTGGGAGCACCTCCGGCTGGGCCCAAGCCCGTCCCCCCATCCAGAGTGTGCAGGACCCCTGGGGACCCCCGCAGGGCAGCCAGTCTGAACAACAGTCCCTCCAGGGAGGAGCAGCTGGGCGTTCCCAAAGGCTGATCTCCTTCTCCAGCAGAGTCCGGCTAGCCCCCAGAGCTGGGCGCCCGCTGGAAAGGGGCGCATAGGTGATGGGGCAGGGATGCCCTAGTGTTATCCAGAGGTGGCAGGGGCAGGGCATGGCCCCCAGCACCCGGACCTCAGTGGGCAGCGCCGATGAAGTAGGTGCTGGCTTCAAGGAGCAGCCCCTTGGCATAGACACGGAGGGTGTAGAAGAAAGTGAGGAAGTCCTGAGTGCTGAAGATGGTGTCGGCCAGGGCGAAGGTCAGTGTGGAGGGGATGAAGCCCCGACCGTACTCCACCATCCATGTCCCAGCGCTCCACTGCACCGCTGTTGTCTCGCCCATCCGGTGCATGATGGTGTCCCCTGCAGGCAGATGCACCGGTCATCATTTTGGGGGGTGGTGGAAGGGCATGGAGAATCCCCCCCTGCCAGCACTGCCCCTGGATTGCCTTGGTGCAGCTGTGTGGGGGTCCCAGGAGGGGCTTGGAAGCAGGGGGAGCTCAGCACTCCATAGGAGAGGCGAGCACTGGCGGGGGCAGCTAAGACAGGGGCTGACCTGCACTGCACCTGGTCCCAGACAGCACAAACCTGCTGTCTGCTACGCAGTCCTGGAACAGTTCCTTGCCCTCCCTTCCAATATCAGGCTGGCTGGAGCCTTGATGCTAGGCATATAAACCCTCCTGGGGTTGCCACTACCTCTGTCAGGACTTCAGCTTTCCTCAAGCACCCCCTCCCCTGTCAGCATGCTCTGCAGTTATATACCTCTTGCATATATTGCATTTACTTGCCTCGCTGGGCAGCTGTGAAGAGCTCTCCAGAGACCCAGCACCCCCTCCCTGCTTACCCTGTTCCCCCAAAGCCCTGAGGTGACCCAGCCTCACAGTACAGGCATGAGGGGCCCCCCGCACTCACCTGGGTAATACATCTCGCTTTTGGTTGTCCCCTCCTTCCACTGCCGGAAGGTCCCTGAGATGATCGTGTCCGATATATCAGCCCAGTAGCGACCTGCAAGAGAGATTTGGGTCATGCCAGGGCTCTGGGGTATGGCCCCAGGCTCCCTCTGCCCCAGGGGTACATCTAGGCGCTGGATCAAGGTGCTGGAGAGCACGTCTGAGATGATGGCAGGCTCAGCCATGCAGGGAGGGAGCAGAACTGCTGGATCAACTGGTTGATTGCAGTCCTGGGCCAGTGCCAAGCCCTGCTGGATTGGGACTGGCCAGGCGGGTTTCTTGGTGCTGAATCAGCCTCTGGCAGGGCAAGGCCATCCAAAACAATCTGTGCCCCAAACACATTTCTCTGCTTCAAAGTCCTTGGCAGGTGAGGCTGGCGTAACTTTAGGGGAAGGGCCAACGTGTCCTGCCAGCTGGAACCCAGGAGTCCTGGCTGTGCAGAACAGAGCAAGCCAGGCTCGGGTGCCAGCAACGTCCTTTAGCACCAGTCTCCCTCCCTGCACTGTGCCACCAGCAGTCGGTTCCCCACCTTGGACCATCTCAGAACAGCCTCCCTGCTCTGGGGAGACAGGCCTGAGTGCCCATGGGGTTCCCCTGGTACCCTAACACCACCTCCCACAGGTAGGTGACCAGGCCCGGGCGCACAACGCACCAGGGCAGCTGCTGAGCCGGTCACTGCAGTCATTGCCCAGTGGGGCCGATGCCTCGGGGTCTAGCTACGTATTTCCCTAGCCCAATTGCCCACTTGTCTCCATAAGCAGTTGCCCCAGCTACTGGTGGGACCAGTTGTTGCTCAGGCACTGTGACTGTGGACACTGGTTGGAGGAGACGGGGAGCAAGCCGGTGTGCAGAGCCCCAGGGCAGACCCAGTTGAGCAGGTCCCCGTTTGCTGGCATGCCCACTCCCAGGCTCTGTGGCTCGCCCCCCTTCTCCCTTCCTAGTGAACTGCCTCGCAAAGACCTGTCCCAAACAGAGAGCTGGGCCCGTGCAGCAAAGCAGTGCCCTGCAGCCTGGCTTACATTATAGAAAATGAGGGCTGGAAGGGCGCTCAGGAGGTCACATCTAGTCCAACCCCCTGCTCCAAGCAGGACCAGCCCCAACTACATCCTCCCAGGCAAGGTTTTGTCTACCCGGGTCTTGAACACCTCCAAGGATGGAGATTGCACCGCCTCTCTGGATAACCTGTTCTAGTGTTTTACTACCCTCCTGGTGAGAAAGTTTTTCCTAATATCTAACTTCAACTTCCCTTGCTGCAGCCACTGGGGCAGGCACAAGACCCGGTGGCTATCAGGGAAGGGGGTGGAAGCAACTGCTTACCTGAGTGACCCCCGGTGTCGATGGCGGTGCCGAAGAGCAGTACGTACTCGGTGAGCGAGGCGTGTAGCAGGCACATGGAGCCCATCCAGCCGCCTGCGTTCACGAACACCCACTGCAGGTCCTCGTCCGGCAGGATGTGGCCTGGGTGCCTCCGCCGCAGCTCCACGATGATCTTGGAGAAGGCCAGCTCATGGTCCAGGCCTACGGCACAGACATGGCTGGCTCAGCCTGGCTCATGTCCAGCGTCCCCGAGAGGCCCCTGCTTCACTTCCATTTCCTGCAGGCTCCACCTTCCACACCCTGCCAGCTCCTGCCCCTGCCAGCCCAAGCCACCGAACTGAGTTCAAACAACTGTTGGAGACTGGATGGGGGGAGCCGGACCTGCTGCCCTTTGCACCCGGCTGCTCTTTGCAATCACCCTGGGCTCCCCCTGCCATCCCTGGGGCCCACTGCTCCACTGTGAGCGGGTGCAGGCTGTGCGCTGTGCCCTGCCCGGAGCAGTCCTGGGCTCGCAGGGGATGTCCTCAGGCCTCCTGGGCAATCGCAGAGGGCGCCTGCACCCAGAGGCTTGTCAGGACAGGCTGACCCCCAGCCCTGAGAGGCCTCCTGCAAAGCCCCTTGTTTTGCCCTGCCTCCATGCACTAAGGCCCTGCCGCCCGAAACCCCCGCACCCT